TGTTAGCATTAGGGGGACTACAATAAAGCACCTTAAAAAACAAATTCTTTGTAGAACTCACTGGTGCAATGTCATCGTCTTCATTAACAGAATTCAATCTTTCATTCTGAGTTTCGGTTTTGGAGAACTAAAATTTAGACCTTCAAAAGTAAAACTCATCACAAGACAAACATCGGTGAGGTTTGAACTTGCAATAATTGTTACAGTATTCTTTGGGTTCGACATTACATTATTTTAAAGAACAAGCTACCATTACAAAAACTTATTCGTACCTGATGAAGTTTCACGTGTTTGATATAACCAGCAGCGTTCAAAGATTCGACATCCATGCCGCACACCAGACACTTATTCTTACTGTTCCAAGCTGAAATGCAACTACTTTTTAGCTACGGTATAACATGCATTTTTAAACATCAGCAAGAAATACAGACAAACAAAATATGTTTACTAAAGCTTCATACAACGAGTTCGTTCAAATATTAGGCAATATTTCTAAAGAAAACTTCTGTTAATAAATTAAAAGCAAATTTGGAGTAAAATCCATAAGAAAACAAATTCAGCGTTTTGACTTTGATGAAAAAACAAACTTCATCTACTAAGACTTTAACAAAAAACAGACACTTATATCTTGGATGCAGTTTTCTTGCTAAAATTAAAGCCCTCTTAGCTTCTTTGACCGTTTAATTGTTCAAAATCTCCAAATTTTTACCGTAACTTTCTCAAATATCCGTACTCACGTGCCCCGTATCCACAGCTTTTTTAAGAAAACTGCGAAAAAGTACTACGGTTAGCCGCAAAATTCGTTATAAGATGTAAAGGCGGTCTCTTAATACTCGGAGCACCTGCGCAACAAAGGATAAAGTGTTCAAGTTTGCCAAACCAGAAAGAACAGCTTCTTTCCCGAAAAAAGTGTATGCAGTTCCCCAAGTTTTTAAGAACTCGGTAAAGTTCCTAATTACAAGAGTCTTATTATTGTTTAAATAGCAAGGAATAATTGATTTCAGTGGCGATCATCAAATAAGAAGTCATTCGTCGTGGACGAACATAATAAACTTTATAACTGCGATTTAAATCTTTAATCTCTGATACAAGAAGCTTTTGTTGTTTTATTCTCAAGTTTTCAGGGCCGGTTTCTAGCAATATACTGCTATCTTAAGAACAATTCCCTTTTTGCCAATAAAAAAATAAAGAGTTCCCATCCACACCAAATTTCCTCGTTCTCTTTGAATCACCCTTCTTTCTCGCTGCTATATCTTTACAGTCTTCAGCATTAGTTTAAAAAATAAAAGTGGTGTTTCTTCATTCTGCCCAATCAGTTCATCTTCGTATGCTCCGAATAAAACCAGCAAAAAGTCGAGAAAAACTGACAAAATTCCAAATTTTTTCAAAAGTTCGGAATTCTGATTCGATGTTATTGAATCAGTCCGGCGAACCAGAACCGATAACATACTTGTGATTGGTAGAAAAAACCTGACGAGGCATTAAAATGAAAAATAGATGTCATTTGCCAGAGTAAGAAAAACTACAGAGCAATATAAGAGAAATTAAAAGCATTTAAATAAAAACTGATCAGGTAAGCATTTAAGTAAATAAAAAATCTTTTACTTGTACGGTTAAAATTTAATAATACCCCTCAACCAGATACGTACCAATGGTAAAGAACGAAAGAAATCAGCACTAATCGTAAAATGAAATATAACTACCGTCAAATTAACGATTTTCTCCGGGAAGAACAATTTTGCAAAGCAGAATTTAAGAAACTCAGTATAAGTGATAAAATAAACACTAACGTATCAGGTTTTCTGAAGCTGACTCTATATCCCTCGAATTCAGTACTTCCTGACAGTTTTTATCTGATTCATACAACGGCTGAGGTTTTGGTAAAGCCTGCCCATTCCTGACAAAGTCGTTTTCGTTCTTAATATTTTCTGTTGCCATTTCTTGGCCTGGAGACTTTGATGCAGGAGAATAAGGAAGGCTTTTCTAAAATGATCATCTCGTGAAAAAAATGTCCAAAGACTGTTGTAAGTGCGAGTGAAACGAAAAAAAAGATCAGAAGCGAATGAGCTTCGAACAAGGTTCAAAGAAGGGACCATAGAAGCGTCGACCATTCCAAGAAGTAACTCTGAAGTCGATTTTGTTGTTGGCGACCCCTCAGATGCAGCAAACTCCGTTTCATGACTTTCATTATTTTGTTTCGCACCCATAATTATTCCAGCCTTTTGAGAAACCTGGTATCTTTTGAGAATACGATAACACGACGAAATTGGAATCTAAAAAACAAGAAGGTTGTGCACCCCGTCAATTGATTATTTTCCTACACTGCAGTGACAGAAGTGCTAAAACGTGTAAAAAAATGTCAAAAAACCTGTAGTTTCTCAGCAATTTTCTGCAACGTAAGCCCTTGATCTCTATAGTATTGCACTAATTTACCATCTTCATGTGTTAAATGCTTTCGCTGAATAGCTTTTGGAGATCCATGGCGGGCCGGAGTTGATGCCTGCACCTCTGTATAAAATTATTAAAAATTAGACCAAGATTAGACCAAAGCTTATATATGTTAACTATAAAAATGTTGTTACCCAAATTTGTAGTATTTGTTGTATTTCCGTCTTCAACTCCGCTACTGCTTTGCACTGTGTTTTGAAGACCATCTAATAAACGTTGTTTCTCTGCAAAATAAAAAGTTATTTTAACAATCTCATAATTAAATAAACTCCATAAAAGTAAAATTCTTGACCTCAAATATTTGATTTCCAAAATTTTTTCCAATTAACTCCGAACACAAGTCGTAAATTGTACCGTAACAGCAAAACAGTCAACACTAATTTCAATTATATAGCACTTTCAAATAGCCTCTAAAACCCATTGTCTAAAATTAATTCTTTTGCAAAAAAAATTTAATTTAACTTACTTGAGAAAGGGGGAATTTTTGCTAGAACCTTTGCGACAGCGTTTTCCTCAGCTTGCAGCTGTAAAAATAAATAAATAACAAACGTCCAAAAATTAAAAAATGCGTTTAAATAAATCTAAAATTTGAAAAAGATTTGGCTCTTGCCATATTGTGATTCTTAGTATTACGATTATTATTATTATTACTATTATTAGTGTATTATTATTATTATTATTATTATTATTATTATTATTGTTAATATTATCAACAATATTAATATTAATATTATTAATATTATTATTATTACCACTATTACTGACTTATTATTATTCTTATTACTGTCATATTATTGTTATTATCTTTATTATTATTATTATTATTATTATTATTATTATTATTATATTATTATTATTATTATTATTATTATTATTATTATTATATTATTATTATTATTATTATTATTATTATTATTATTATTGTTATTATTATTATTATTATTATTATTATTATTATTACTATTACTATTGCTATTACTCTTACTCTTACTCTTACTCTTCCTATTGCTACTACTATTATTATTATTATCATTATTTTTGCTTTTATTATCATCATTATTGTTATTTTCATTATTGCTATTGTTGTCGTTATTATTATTATTGTAATTATTAATATTATTATTATTATTATTATTATTATTGCTATTACTATTGCTATTACTCTTACTCTTACTATTACTCTTACTCCTCCTATTGCTACTACTACTATTATTATTATCATTATTTTTACTTTTATTATCATCATTATTGTTATTTTCATTATTGCTATTGTTGTCGTTATTATTATTATTGTAATTATTAATATTATTATTGTTATTATTATTATTATTACTGCCATCGCTATCACTATTATTCCCATTATTTTTCTTAATATTAGTACAACCATTAATTATTGTTATCATCAATATCATTATTGCTGTCATTATTATCGTCAGTGTTGTTATCAGTACATAAAAAGTGAATGAAGGGTTCCCCTCAAAATTATTCAACAACTTTACTTAATCACTTAAGGCAATCAAAAGTCAAATCAATACCGCTTCTCTTGCTCTCCGCTTACGGCGAAGCTCGGTCTTAATTCGATCCCAATACTCTTTAGGCAAATGAAACCGCTTGATTGCTGTGTAACAGTTTGTCATCGGTACCTACAAATGTTATCTTAAAATGTGAGCTGCTGCAATTGCTGACAGATATTTCTAAGAAAAGGCTTGCAAACTTACATTTAAACGTTCAGAGATCACTCGAAACGTGTACCCACGCTCCTTTAAAAACTTCACTTGTTCCGGTAAATTCTTTCCTTAACATACAACCTTTAATTTTTTAACAAACATCAAAGTACTTGATTCATTTGTTTATTCCCGTATATTCAATTATTCCAATAAATGCAAGAAAATGCTTAACGCTTCAGAAGTACAAAAAAAAAACTAGAAACCTGCTAATTCCTCTTGAAAAGCATCCGGCGGTAAAAAGGTACCACTCATATAGGGGTCATAACTATGCTCAACGCTTCCTTTGCGTTGTTTCTCCTGCTTCACTTCAGTACCAATCAATGCAGATTGAACAGCAACACCAATCTGTGAGGTTCCAGCCTGAAAATGCTATTTCTGAACATTGAGAAATTTTATAAGCCAAAAAAACATCAAGATGAGCATTCAGATGGCAAATCAACAAGCACAGTAAACTTATTCAATCCGTCTCAGCCCCTCCTTCAAACCTCCTATTTCATTGCCATATAATGAACCAACAAATATCTCTGCTAAAGTAATTTCAAAAAATAAAAGAGAAAAAAAAAGAAAAACAATTCCAATAATAAAAATTCTCGAAAGAGCAACAATTTTTTCACCACTCATTTATCGGGTTTATTTGAAAAGAGCAGAAAAACTAAAAATGTTTGAACACTTTTCTTTTGCCGATGTAATAATATTTTTTTCCTAAAACAGAAGCGAAAACAAAAGAACTAAGAGGCAGCAAAAAAAAGCTACTTTCAAAAGAAAAATGCTAAAATTTTAATCAGAATAGCAAACCGACAACAAGAAGATTAAAATTTCACTTATTTTTTCCCTCGATAAAAAAAAATTTAACGACAAACAACACCGAAAAAAAAATAAACGCCAAAAAAAAATAAAAAAAAATTACTTTTAGAAATTTTTCGATAGCCTTCTCTCCGACCAGGTGTTTTGCCTCATAACCATCAAACTGCTCGCTCATAATCAACCACAGGGCTGTCCACCGAACACACCAAAAACCTGAGCCACTTACTTCTTTCTGCCTGAAATTCAGTCCTCATTCATACCACCACCATAAACTATTGCACTACAGCACAGTGAGGCTTTCGAAAAACTACTAACCTTTTTTTTCTTCAAACTACCACATCATTAAAAACAGAAAAACCGAACAGAGCAGCAAAAACAAAATTTTTTTTTTTTTGCTCATAGACAAAAATACACCAAAAAAACACCCTAAAC